CCATATCTGCAGCCCAGCTCCCATATTTTAAATCAGTGAAAAAAAATGAAAGGTTTAAATCAACAAAAAAATAGGAAAAATGTATTTTAGAAGCAGTATGTTTGTTTCTTACTCAATATGCCAAAGTGTTTCTTTTCAATTAAATAATAGCATGTAAAAGTCAACCATTACAAAGTACAAGTTAATATAATTTCTCAATGTCAAAAGACCTAAAATTTAAAAACTATATTTAAGACTATCAAAGATGGTAAGATTTGACCCTTTAATGATTAGATATTTCTGCACATCACGTGTAAAGTCAACTTGGGAGATAGAGGCTGGAAGGGCTTAAAGTCAGCAACACAGTGAGTTCAAGGTCAAGTTGAACAGTTTTGCAAGGCCCTATCTTAAAAAAAAATATCAGAGCTGACAGGATACTCTCAATGCTATCAAGAGTTTGGTAAAAACACAAAACAAAACCCTCAGGGGCCTGGGGATGTGGCTCGTTTGTTAAGAGTCCCTGTCTCATATACAAGGCCCTGGGTTCCAGTCTCAGTACTGCACAAGTCTGGACATGAAATTGCACTCCTGTAATCACCGCACTTGAGAAATGGTGACCGGAGGATCAGAAGTTCAAGGTCATGAGTTCAAAGTCAGCCTGGCTATGAAAGACCCTGCCTCAAAACAAAACAACGAAACTCATGCACTTTTCACTAATAAAAAAAAATCACTTTTGTGCCTTTCTAAGAAATAGTTGAAAAAAAACTCTCAAGAAATTTTAAACATTAAGCCAGTTATAGTTGCTCATATATGTAATCCAGGCACCTGGAAGATGGAAGCAGGAGGTTCAGGAGTTTAAGGCTAGCCACGAGTTTGAGGCCAGCCTGGGCTACACGGGACGATGACCAAAAAGAGGAAGAAGGAGTGTGCAAGAAGGACTTTAAATGTTAACATGACGCTCTGACCTTACCCATTTGTTCTAAGGCAGCATTCAAACATGTTTTCAATGTTTTACAAACAAATATAAATCATGACATTATTTGAAACAATAACAATAACTGATAATATTTTCAACAGTAAAGACAAAGCAATTAATCTATAAGGTTGAATGTTGAGAGCAGTGAGAAAGGCTTTGGGGCCCCAACAACAAAGAGATGCTTGCCAACCGAATGATCTGAACAAGAGCGCAAGGACTGGGGACACGGCTTGGTCAGTAAGCTTAAGGACAAGCTTAAGATGGCTTAGCCTCACAGCATGAAGGACCCGTTTGAGCCCTCCATGATCCCTTCTCTGTGCTCCATAGCCCAGGAGAGAGCAGCAGGCTTTGGAGTTTGGTGACTCATTATCTGAAGAGGTCAGCAAGGCCAGTGTTGATGGGAGGCCAGCACCACACAGCATCCAGTGCACTAATGCATGGGCAAGCAGCTTCCCAGACAAGCTGGTAAGGAAAGCCCTTGTCTCAAAAAATGAAAATGAAAGTTAAAGTTCAATGCAGTCAACCCCTGAAGTTACTGGTGTAACATCCTGGCCCCTCTGAGGCTGTTTTAAGAAACTAAGCAGTAATTTTCGATTATTGCAAACTACTTGTTCCAAAAATATAAAGAGTCCAGTGAAAGGATTGTTTGGGCACTAACTTTCCTTTGTGCATATTTGGAATATGGCACCCTGGCTGACACGACAGAAAAGAGTAATGAGGAAATTTTATTGTCAACAATGTGCAGCTATATCCTCAAGGTCCACAGATATTCCAAACTGCCATGTATTTCCTGTACAGCAAGAGAGAGAGAGAGAGGTTTCTTCTTAAAGGCTACAGCTACTTGTAATAGGTCAAAGGTCCCTTAAGAAGTAATTCTGGCTGGGTGGTGGTGGCGCACGCTTTTAATCCCAGCACTCGGGAGGCAGAGGCAGGCGGATCTCTGCGAGTTCGAGACCAACCTGGTCTACCAAGTGAGTTCCAGGGCAGACAGGCTCCAAAACAATTCAGAGAAACCCTGTCTCAAAAAAGAGGAGGAGGAAGAAGAAGAAGAAGAAGAAGAAGAAGAAGAAGAAGAAGAAGAAGAAGAAGAAGAAGAAGAAGAAGAAGAAGAAGAAGAAAGAAGAAGAAAAAGAAGAAGAAAAAGAAGAAGAAAAAGAAGAAGAAGAAGCCTAGAAGATGACTCAATCAGTAAAGAGCTGGCTACTGAGTTTGGGTCCCCAGTGCCTATGTGGACAGTGAGGCAGGGTGCTGGGGAGACAGAAATAGGAAGATCCGTGGAGCTCGATGGACAGATATTCTAACCAAATTGTGAGTTCAAACTTCAGTGAGGGACCTTGTCTCAAAAAGTGAGGTGGGGCCAGCAAGATGGCTCAGCTGGTAAAAGTTCCCGTCATGCAAACCTGGAGACATGATTTTGCCTCTGGCTTCTCCATTCAGACCACTACATTTACACCCATGCATACATGCACACATCATTCATACACACATGCTCACATCATTCATGCACACATGCACACACCACACACATATAACAGTGAATACCTTTAAAAGACTTTTATGTATATGGGTCTTTTGCCTGTGTGTATGTCTGTCTACTACACGTGTGCAGTGCCCATGGAGACCAGGACACCCGATCTTCTGGGACTGCAGTTACAGATGGTTGTGAGCTGCCATGTGGTGGTATGAATTGAACCCAGGTCCTCTGGAAGAGCAGCCAGTGCTCTTAATCACTGAGCCATCTCTCCAGCACCAGTGAATAATCTTCGTTAGTTTGAGACTAGTTTGGGCTATGCAGAGTTCCAGACTAGCCTGAACTACATTGTCAAGCAAGCAAACAAAAAACCTTTCAAATATGCATTTCAGAAAATCTGAATTGTCCTGACCCTACAGTGGGGAACTAGATGTGGCTTTCTGTTACTTCAGTGACCACAAATAAAAATGCTTAGTGAATATATTTCACCACTACCACTCCACAAACACTTCCACTGCACCGAGGAGGACACGGGGTGCTGGTGAAGTCGTAGAGGTAATAAAGGAGCCGGGACAACAAGTGGCCATCGATACAGGGAGATAGAGACATAGAGAGATGGCTCTTCACTCCATGCCAGTCCCCAGCCTTCCGGTGTCACCAGTCTTTCTCTGCTTGTGGTGAGTATCCTATTAATCTAGGACTATCAGCTGACAAGTTAGCTTGTCACTGTCTCACTGTTGTTAACCCCACGTGGTTATTAAGTATCTGGAAGCCGGGCACTGCGGCATGGGTGGAAAAGGACCTCTGAGGCAGGGACCGCCCGAGAGGAAGCTGCAGGGTGAGGACAGAGCACAGAACGGAAAGAAGCCAACGAGAAAGTGGCTGGGGCTAGGGAGGTGCCTCAGTGGGTCAAGTGCTCATGGGAAAGCATAGGGACTCAGAGTCAGAGTCCCAGCACCTAGGTGTTCCATGCCTGTAATCCCAACAGTGGGAGGCAGACTCAGCAGGATTCCAATAGCTTGCCTGGCCAATCAGTCCAGTCTAGTCCACAAGTCCCAGGTTCAGCAAAAAATACTGTTCAAAAAAGATATAGGGTGCTGGGAGACTGTTCAGTGGTTAAGGACACTTGCTGCTCTTACAGAGGACTCAGGTTCAATTCCCAGCACCCACACGGCAGCTCAGAACCATCTAGAACTCCAAGTTCCAAGGAATTTGATGCACTCTTTTGGCCTCCCTGGACACCAGGCATATGTGTAGTACAAAAACATACATGCAGTTAAACCTTCACACATATAAAGTAAAATAGTCTTTTAAAAATGAAGATTAAGAACAATAGAAGAAAATACCTCATGTCTATCTGTGGCCGCCACATACATGCACACACACACATGCATATATGCTCCTACATACACACACCACTACACACACATGCCACACACATGTACATGTGCTCCTCCACACACATGCATGTACCCACCCTCCCACACACATGCATGTATGCATACATGTACTTCTCCATGCACATGTACCCTCCCACACACATGCACATATGAATACATGCACCCTTCCATACACATAAAAAGAAATATCTTTAAAAATAAGTGACTTCAGCACATGAGGGCTGGAAGGAGAGAAGGCTGATGAGGGAGAAGCAACAAAGACAGTCAGCCTTGAGGTCAGGTATGCACAGCTTGCAGTTTATTAAGAATGCTATCAAATAAACAGACACACAAAGCAAACCCAAAGGCTCTGTGGGTAAAGGCGCTTGCTGCCAAGCAGGGTGACCTGAGTTCAAGCCCTGAGACCCGCCCACATAGTGAAGGTTAGAACCAACTCCAGCACAGTATCCTTTATCGCCACATGTAACCCTGTAACCCTCCTCCAACACACACACACACACACACACACACACACACACACGCACGCACGCACGCACACACACTGTTTTAACAGAAAGCACATCATGAACAAGTACACACCAATAACTGCCAGCAAAGACTCTAGTAAAGGTCAAGGAGGTAGTCTGATGCCAGACTAAAAACCAGGGGGTTGCAAAGGTGACTCCATGAGTCCAAAGATGACACACTTCTCAAGTCCACTACAGTTAATTCCTGATTTCTGACCATTTCCATAAATTATATTTATTCTCTTTCCCTCAGGAGCCAGCCAACCATCATGACATAAGCATGCCCTATGTTAAACCTAAGAAAAAACAAAGACAGGCAGACAGACACCCCTCAGAGCTCCTGATGAGCACAGATTTTTTTCCAAACAGCATCTTTACAGGGTTGTAAACAGATATCTTCCCTCCTTTTCTACACACCCCCCCCTTCCCCAGTTAGGTGTGGTAAACTGACCCCTATAATCTTGAGGTTCTGGAGTAGAAACATGCAATCCAAGGACCCATACACCCCCACTCAACCGACTCCCTAACACACACGTCCATCTGAGCTGCTCAGGTTCATGAAGTGTACCAGCCAGGGCAACAGTGGCACTTATACCAGGCCATCTCTGCAAAACTGCTTGCAAGCCAAAGTGTGAAAATTAAAGAAGTGGTGTGTCGTAGTCTTGTACCTTGAATGCTTCTTTTAAAAAAGGCCTTACATCCTTCGCACGACCAGACGCCATAGTGATACCCAGATGCATAATCGCTGCAAACTGCGCAGAAGTGAGCATCCCTCTTTGAACTCGGACTAGTGACAGGGCTGGCACAGCTGCCCCCACTCAGCTTCCTTTTCAGCGTCTCTCTGGGGAAGCAGAGAAAACAGGCATTGTAAAAGGATGCAAAAGAGAGATCAAGGGCTTCCGGAAAGAATAAATAAATAAGTAGCATGAACTTTGCCAAACGTTAAGTTTGCCTTTCGGGGTTAGGTATAAATCTGTTCCAGGAAACCCGCCATGGTATCTCAAAGAGCCCAGTGTGGGGCGTGACTGCCCTCTGATTGTTTAGGTGGTATGGACAGGTCCTCAGGAGGCTGAAGGAGGTGGGCAGCTCAGGACTGGAAGAAGAGCCCCTCCTATCAGAGGGGCGGCAGGGGCGGCAGCACACGCCCCCTAGGGGCTGATTTTGCTAAGACATGTTTCTTCTGGGAAGGGAGATAGTAAAGGTATGACTAACTTAGAAATGATAGAAAACTTTCCCGATGGTAAGTTTGTCTAAATATTAGCAGGACTTTGATGAGATTTTTAACAGATTAAAAAAGTCATCATTTAAATGAAATGTAAGTGAAAAGCATTAACCTTCAGATGTGCCCCACAGTTTTTATATGTTATCTTACCAACAAATAAAAAGATTAAGAAAAATTCAATTATTGTATAATATTTTCTCAAAGATTGTTTTGGTTTGGGTCGGGGCTTGAAGGTGCTGGGTTTTGGGTTGCTGGGGCATGGACCCAGAGCCTCATGAATGTTAAACCCACCCCCTAGCACTGAGATAGGCACTCCAGCTTCTATATGCTCTAAGTTTTATGATAGTATTTAAAAAGTAATGATATTTTATTTGTTTTGGGTTTTCTTTGGAGACAAGATCTCTCTATTCAGCCCTGGCTGTCCTGGAACTCATTATGTAGATCAGGCTGGCCCCAAACTCAGAGATCTGCCTGTCCCTGCCTCCAGAATGCTGGGATCAAAGGGATGTGCCACCACACCCTGCAGGTAATGCATTTACTAGTCAGTGTGCCATAACTCAGTACTCTTCTTCCAGAAATCCATTTCTTCCTACCACTTATTCATAAGCCATCTTCTCCCTCCACAGCCATTAACACTTACAAATTAGACTGAAATAATCTGTCGTTTGGCCATGCATTTGGAGTTCGATTTGTTTTAACTTTAGAAATTTTCAATAGGATCCTAAGGTTAGTTCCTCATTGATCATTACAAAGCACTGCCTGGGCTCATCACTAAAGCTTATGCCCATTGTCTTTCCTGGCTTCCCATGGCCACTTCATGGAAGTTGTAGAGTTACCATGGTTACTTTCATCTTGGAAACAATTTGTCATCAACAACAAGTAACCCATCATTTTACAGGTAAGACTCTAATCTGACCTTAAGAAACAAACATTTAAAACCCAACACCTTCACCAAAACCAAACTGATGTAAGTTTGATGTCTGTTGCATACAGAGAACAGAGATCACAGTGAACTTTCTCCACAGGCACAACGTTTTTATAAGAATGGGACTATCAGAATAGGACAGAGCAGTACGTCTCAGGCATCCTAAGAGAGTGAGAAAATAAAGACCTAACACATGTCTTTCTCACTAAGCTGTAAAGTGAGGATCATGCCACCGTCCATGACTTAGATGAAGACAGGGCTTTACCTGCTCCCAGGCAAGGTGTGTTCTAGTGATCTCGCTTCATACCAAGGGCTCTTTTGGGGCTCTGCACACAGTAGTGATGACTGGCAGTGGGCCGCTAAAGGAGAGAGGTGTCCAGAAGTTGGCCATAACACATTTGGGCTTGTGGTCTGTCGAACAGGCCCGCCTTCCAGGTTGTTGGCACTGCTCGGAACACTATAATTCATCACAGCAGGACTATAGAATGCCATAGTAGAGTATTCATGACGGTTCTCTACGTAGGAGGAAGGGATATAGATGGGGCCATGCTCCAGCGGCAGGATGGACTGGCCACAGTTGTAGGAAACAGGGGAATTAAGGCTTGATGGTGAGTTCTTGATATCCATGTCTTGAACAGGTAGCAGCTGAGAAAAATCCTTGTGAGAAGATGTGCAGACGGACATTATGTTCTCAGAGACTCATAGGCAGGTGTAATGCCTGCAACGGAAAGCCAATAATGCTCAGTTAATTCAAGCTACAAGAGTAACTAACACGCATTCATTTTAGCTAGGGATAGTGGTGCTTACCTACAGCCCAGCACTCAAGGAAACTGAGGCAGGAGAACTTCCGGTTCCAGGCCTGCTTTTAGCTACAGAGTGAGACACAGTCTAAAGGAAATGGAAGGGGAGGGGAGGGGTGGGAAGAAGAGGGGTTAGGGGAGAAGAGAGAACGGGAGAAGAAGAGAGGAGGGGAGGGGAGAGGAGGGGAGAGGAGAGGAGAAAGGAGAGGAGAGGAGAGGAGAGGAGAGGAGAGGAGAGGAGAGGAGAGGAGAGGAGAGGAGAGGAGAGGAGAGGAGAGGAGAGGAGAGGAGAGGAGAGGGGAGGGGAGGGGAGGGGAGGAAAAAGTGGAAGTGGGAATATAGCATAGTTGGTAGAACACTTGCCTCACACGTGGGAGACCTTGACTTTGATCCCCACCATTGCCTAAACCAGGGATTGTGGAAGATCTTTATAAATCCAGTATTCCAGAGGCAGAAGCAGAAGGATCAGAAGTTCAAGGTCATCCTCTTGTCAGGAGTTCAAGACCAACATGGGATATATGATACTATAGCTCAAGAAAAAGAAAACACAGGGCACAATAGCTCCATGGATAAAGTGTCTGCTGCTCAACCCAGATGGTGAGTTCAATCCCAGAGCCCATGGTAGGAAGTGAGGTTTCCTGAAAGCCCATGTGTAGCAGGGAAAATAAACCCCAGAGACTGATATTGGGGTTCAAGTTTCAAGATGAATATCAGAAAAAGCAAAGCAGCCAGCGACTAGCTCTCACCTCTGACTCAGACTGAAAGGGCTGATCCACACACAAGCTTTTCACCAAGTCTCAAACTGCTGCCTTTTCTCAGTGTGGCCGGAGAATGAATGCCTCCTACTGAGGCCTTGCTCCTGTCTTATATATCTCTCAAGAGTCCTGAGATTAAAGGTGTGAGCTATAATTCTCTTTGAGACTGATTCACTCTTGTGTGGATCTGGGTGGCCTTGGACTCACAGAGATTCATCTCCCTCTTAATTCTGAGTCCTAGTATTAACAGTATGGACCATCACCTCCTAGCTTCTGGTTGCTAGGATTAATGATGTATGCCTGGCTTTTATGGCTTGTGGCTTGCTTTCTGAATCCTCAGGCAAGCTTTAATAAATCATAAGTAATACATCACCACACCCATATGCTACCCTTTTGTTTTCTCTCTGTCTGTTTCTGCATGTCTCTGTCTCTAACACACACACACACACATACACACACTAGTACAGGACTACAAGTATATCCTAGAAGATATATATGAAAACATTGCCTACAGAGGGGTGTAAATATAAGGTGTGGGGTTCTCATTCTCTATTTCATTGACTGTTTGGGGGGGAATTTTTTTTGAGACAGGTTCTTATATATCCGATACCATCCTCAAACTCCTTATGTAGTCAAAGGTGATCTTAAATTTCTGATCCCCCTGCCTCTACCTCCCTCCCAAGTTCTGGGGTTATATATATTCCCCCCATGCTAAGTTTGCAGAGTTCGATCCCGGGATCAAATACAGGATCCTACACATGCTAAGAAAGCATCTGCCAACAAAGCCATACCCTCTCTCATTCACTTCTTATTACTTTATTGTTGCTGCTACCAACTACAGGGATTTTTTAAAAACATTGTTATTGCAGATGTATAGATGTTCTGTCATGTACTACTTGTGTGCCTGGGGCTTACAGAGGTGCCTGGATCCCCTTGGACTGCAGTTGCAGAAGGTTCTGAAACACAATGAGGCCATCTGGAGAAGAAACCAGCGGTCTTAACTGCTGAGCCACCTCTCCAGGTCTCAACTATAAGAACGTTTAGCCATAATGATTTATCACAAAATTATATTCAAATTTAAAAACACAGAAATACATAAAGATATATAAGATCAGCTGTAAGTTGTAACTAAAAGATAAACCTAAAGGGGGAACATCGGCAAATGAGACTATTATAGTTTTGACATATTTGAATATTTATCCCAGTCTGACTTTGTCAGTCTATTGCCTCTAAACTTTAAAAGCAGCCTTCAATATAGGACTTGTACAAAAATAAAACCAAGAAATAACAGAATTCCTGTACGCTCAAACTGAGCTCAATGGTTAGCTCAGTAGAGGGAACTATAGAGACACAGTGGGACAAATGGCCCTGGCAGAGGCAGGCCTGTGAATGGGAGAATCCAGCCAGGGTGGAGCTTGCCCCAGACAAAGGTCCAGAATGAAATCCCTTGGCAGCCTTGCAGTCTGCATAGCAATGACCTCTTCATAGGCACCTAAGCACTGCAGAGTCATCCATTGCACAAGACTCTTGTCACCACAACAACTGACATGCTCTGAAGGTTTTCTGCCCTTGAGGGAACCCAGATTCCCACTTTGAGTGCATGGCCTGGTTACTGGCCGCCAACCACTGAACTGCATTTTAGGGGGAACCTTTGCTTAATCAGCAACCCTAGATCCTCTAAACCGCCTGACATCACTGCAAGTCAATGGCCAAACCTCACCTTGCCCAGAAAGTTCTAAACTCATTCGCCAACTGGGTACTCTTCCCTCAGCCCTAAGGGTCCAAAAGAAAAGAATCTCTGCATAGTTCATACTTCTCTCTCTCTCTCTCTCTCTCTCTCTCTCTCTCTCTCTCTCTCTCTCTCTCTCTCGTTTTTTGTTTTTCGAGACAGGGTTTCTCTGTGTAGCCCTGGCTGTTCTAGAACTCGCTCTGTAGACAAGGCTGGCCTTGAACTCATATAGATCGGCCTACCTCTGCCTCCCGAGTGCTGGAACTAAAGGTGTGTGCCACCACACCTTGCTTATCTCTTCTTATAGTTAGTGTTTCTTCATATTAAATTTCTCCTGTTGAAGATATCATATAATTGGATGTTCTGATTTGATCCTGACTGCTATACCAACAGAACAGGCAAGCCAAAGATTCAAAGGCACGGGGAATTTGGTGGATAATAACGAGGTCCTTTGGAAGAGGAGCAAATGCTCTTAGCTGCAGAGCTGTCTCTCAAGCCTCGGGGCTATCTTAACCCCTCCCTATGCTGTGTCGTCAGTATTTCAGCTCCATGATCAGACTTCAATGCACGGTTTGACTATCATCAGAGCACATCTGATGCTACCAAAGCTTTAATCAAAACACATTTAGAGTTCTTTAAACAGCGCACTTTCTAACAACTGAGAGCACAATATATAAGCTCTTGATATGCATAGCAATCATATTTATACTCAAAATTTGGAGGTAATAATTAAAATTAAATTTCTTGAACATTCAAAAAAATATAAAGAGCCAAAATGGCAGGTCCAATTTAACAAATAAAAATTATGTCCAAAAATAAGTATGGTCACCATGCAATATATACTACCTTTTTAAAGATTTATTTATGTATTTATTTGTGTGTGCAGTACACACATGTGTATGTGTACCTGTATGTGCAGGTACATGCACCTGTGTACACCCATGGAGGCCAGAGGGTTTCCTCCACTATCCTATCCCCACCTACTCCTTCTCTCCCTAAATCTAGGTCTCAAGTTTTTCTCTGTAATGATGTAAGCCCAAAACCCTAGTCTCCTATCTCCATCCCTCCTGAAACTGAGATTGCAAGCATGCATGGGATATCTAACTTGTTACACTTGGTGCCAGGGTTAGAACTTTGGTCCTCATGATTGTGCCTTTAGTCACCAGGTCATCTCTCCAGTCCTACTTTTGTTTTTTGTTTGTTTGTTGAGTCAGTATTTCATGTAACCCAGGGTGGTATTGAACTTGTTATGTAACTAGCAGTGACTTTGAACTCTTCTACCTCCCTGGGTCTGCAATTAAAGATGTACACAACCGTGTCCAGTATATGTGGGGCTGTGGATCAAGCCCTGCTTTGTGCATGCTAGACAAACACTCTACCAATGAAGCCACACCCCCAACCCTTTATGGCCTTCCTACACAGAGCATCGCTGGATGATACAGGCATGGTGGCACTCACCTGTATTCCTGGCACTGGAATGGCAGAGGCAAGAGTTGTAGCTGCAAGTTTGATGCCAGCCTGTTCTGCATATTGAGTTCCAGGCCATCTGGAGCTATGTACTGTGACCCTGTCTAAAAACAACAACAAAACAAAACAAAACAAAAAAACAGAAAAAAACAACACAAATAGAAAAACACAAAAATGCCACTCAGTCTTTCTGAGCGTAAACCTCCCTCCATAAGGAACAAACACAGTGCTCTGAATTGTCGTATGAAAAGTAATTAAATTCAGGAAATTATAAGCAAAGAGAACAGTAAAACTCAAATTTGAGCAAAGGACTTCAAGATGATACTGTTAACAAAAATATAATTAAATGACAAATGGTTTGATACAATTTTAGCATTGTGATCAAACAAGATCTTACTGAGTCTACAGGGTCTTAACTTTTCACCTCCAAGTTCAGCAGACTCCACGTAGCAACCATCAGAAACTTCGGCTGTGGTTTCTTCTCATCAGACCTCTTATTTAAAATTTGTTTATTCTTATTTTCCTGTGTCTGAGCATTTTGGCCACGTATGTCTGTGCACTGAGTGCATATCTGGTACCCAAAGAAATCAGATCTCCTGGAGCAGGAGTCACAGATGGTTGTGAACTACCATGAGGGTGCTGGGAAATGAACCCTGGCCCTCTGAAAAAGCAGTAAGTGCTTTTAACAACTGAGTTATCTCGGCAGCCCCTTCATCAGGCCTTTTAAGAGGTATGACGTAACTGGGTTGAGGAGGTAACTCAGTCAGAAAAGTGTTTACTCTGCAAACAGGGAGATCCAAGTTCAATCCAAGAATCCATGGAAAAGGCTTCTTGATGGTTCATAGCAGGCCAATGACAGACTCCGTCTCAAAAACAAACCAACAAGGTGGAGACAAATGAGAATACTCAGCAGGTAAAATCACTTGTTTATAAGCAGACTGACTTTGATTATCAGAACCCACAGAAGAATGGGAGAAAAGTTGTCCTCCAGCCTCCAGACACATGCAGCGTCATGGCATGCACACAGATATCATGCATACAAACACGGTAATAATAATAATATTAATAAATAATAATAGATTAAATTGGGCTGAACAGATGGCTCAGTGGTTAAGAGTGCTTGCTACTCTTTCAGAGGACCCAAGTTCAGTTCCCAGCACCCACACCAAGTGGCTCACTACTGCCTACATCCCCAGCTCCAGAGGACCTGACATCTTCTTCAGGCCTCCCCAGATACCACATGCATAAGTAAATAGTAAAATATATTTTCAAGGTGGACAGTGTCTTAAGAAAAGCAGCACTTGGTGTTGTCTTCTGGCTTGCAGGTGCTCATACACACACATATGTGTGTGCCTATGTGTACCCACACACACATATACATAAAAACAAATCAATGGGCAGTCAGCGTGGAAAGACATGAACTTGAAAAAAACACTTTCCCTTATCCAGATGGTAAGTGATCATAAAATTTAAAAACAGCAGAGGGTTGATCCCATCACCCATTCCCACACCCTCAGGTCAGGTACCTGCCACAGAAAGGCAAGTGCCAAGATCATTCAGGCCATCGGTCTAGGCTGCCACAACGATGTCACCTAGAAAGCAGATCTCACATGCTAGCATGGCAGTAGCCAACTTCTCCAGTTTTTCTACCAAGTCCCAGTACACTCAGGATTGTTGAGAACCACTCCTGGATGGTGACCGTTAGAACGAGGGTTGCCCTTTGGCTGAATATCTTTTGGTAGATCCAGATTCACATCACAACTACTTGTCAGGGGCATCTTGGATGATTAGTAGCATGTTCACTGATAACAACTTTTCTTCCTAAATCACAACCTCGGAGAAGATTTCGTACACTCAGGGTTATGCATGGCATGCTAAAATACAAGCCGGAGAAACACATTTTGGATCTCAAGCCTAAAAATAAATAACTTTGAAAAACTCCAGTGTTGACAGTGGATTTATGGAGAAGAATAAGGTTGTCCCTGGAAGTAACACAGCATTCCACAAAGAGCAGACAGACCTACAAATCCAGCTGACGGACAGAAGTCAGTCACCAGCCAGCCCGTGTGAATTCACGTGTACTCTGGCCCAGTGGGCAGAACACAACACTGGGTCCTAGACTCCTCTCTGCCTAAACACCAGATCTTAGACAAACCACATAAATTCCTTGAACTTTCACATTCTTTTCTGCAGAAAAGAGAAAACATTGTGGGACGCCCCAAGGAAATGGCATAAGTGAAAAGCATCCTGGATGGGGAAGAGGGTGAAACCAGTCTACTGGCATGCCACAGGCCACACCTCTCACATTGGTCAGGATGCCCAGTTTAAGATAAAACGATTTCTGATCGTGAAGACATGCTTCTGAATTTTACTCTTTAAGCTTGTGTGTGACAGAAGCCCACCGCCACAAGCAGCCCAGATAGTTGGGCTGCTAGGAACCTGTCTGCTGCCTGTGTGTAAACAAAATGCCACCTCCCGAGTGCCATATCCTGGGCCCGCAGATGTGGATGGCTTTGACAGGCTACCTCCATTCTTCCTCCACCTGCCCATTCTCCTCCCCCATCACAAGCATCCTATTCAAACAATCCAATTCACACTCACCAGAAACAATTCCCTGGACAAGAAAAATGCATACAAACACATTTCTCTTCTTCCTCCTTTTCTAAGACACGATCTCATGTAGCCCAAGCTGGCCTAAAAACTGCTATACAGCCAAGGTTGTCCTTAAACTCCCTGGTCTTCCCGCTTCTATATTCTGAGTTCTAGGATTGTAGGCAAGCACCACCGCGCCTGATTCATGCAAGGCTGTGGATGGAGGCCAGGGCTGCGTGCGTGCCAGGCAAGCTCTCCACCAGCTGAGCCACATCCATGGCCCCTTAGGCACACCTTTTTAAGCATCAAGCCTTCTTGCTGTGTTTCTATTTAGCAGTTACCACCTTCACACGTTTATCTTTTCCAAAGCAAAATATTAAGGTCCCCAATCAATTTCATGTTAGGAACAAAGAAAACTTACTCTAACCATAAAACTGACCACTAATAATTGACTTACACGAAACTCTTTAAAACTATATGTGTATCTTCCAAAATGAGAAACAGCTAATCCCTCTCTCTCATAATCCTTAGAGTGGTATTTTTTTAATCTTAAATTCATCTGTCTGTAAACAATACTGCAATAAGCATGTTTTTTTCAAATGTCTATCACAAGGTACTAAACACTGAATAATGAGATCCAATATCCAAGCATTCAGTTTTCAAGGGCTTTGTGTACAATCAACAAAAACTTACCAGCAAGTGACTGATGTTTACTCCTCAGAATTTTGTGCAATCACTTCCTAACATATTCCATAAAATGACTTGAAATAAATTTTAAGGCATAGCCTGTTGAATTACAGTGACTTAGTCTTCACAAAGGACATAATGTCCATTAAAGGCCAATTATATATTTAATAGGTTGAATTGAGTACTAAGTTTTACCTTTTTTATATTAAAATCATTTCTGAGGAATGTCAACTCTGACTAGAACCATTTGGCTTCCTCAAATACACCTTGAAATGGTACAACATGTGCTTTTTGTTTGTTTCAAACACTTAGGCATCTTGAGCAAGACTTAAAGTGTTCCTTTTAACACTGCTTTTGAAATAAGAATTTCAGATTCATCCAGAAAATCGCTGAACATAAACTGGAACGCTAAAGTTTCTGCTTTAACACTTAGTGACCTCTTACTTTGTTCAGACAGAACGTCTGTTAGTTAGAGCAATGGTTCTCAACCTTCCCAATGCTGTGACCCTTGAACACAGTTCCTCACATTGTGGGGATCCCCAACCATAACATTATTTCTGGTGCTACTTAGTGACTGTAATTTTGCTACCATCATGAATCGTAATGTAACTATTCTTGGAGAAAAGGTTTGTCAGTGGGGTATGAGCCACGGGCTGAGAACCACTCTTCAGGTTTTCTTGGGGAAGAGAGTGAGTTCAGCATTTATCACACTCTTTCATTGTCCCCATATATTTGGCTTCTAATCTTCCCTTTCACTTTTTAAATAACATTTACAGGGAGAGAGGGGAAATGCCACCATGAGTGGAGTCATTACAGCAGAAATAAAATTTCAAGTGGAAACACTTGAAATAGAACAAAACTCCTTTCTCCGAGGTGCTGTGTGCCACACAAAATACAACCTGGCTTCTGAAATGTAAGAATAACCATCAGGCTTACTTTCTGAATAGAGCTCCACGCAAATTCAAAGTTTTGTTTCTCACACACAAAAACAATATTCACTTGGCCCAGTTTTCTACTTCCACAGTGAAACAGTCACTACAGGTAATCTTGAAGAAGCAACAGTTAAATTCGTCTCCAGCAAATAAGAGAGATCAGATTTAACGTATCTGAACCTACATGGAAAGAAATCTATTTCTGACATGACTAAGGATTACCATGATCAAGCCATGATCACCGGCCTGAAATAGGAACATCTTCCCTGGTCCACGATACTCAGGCAAAAAGCTTCATCATTTCATCCACCCCAGGAATCCACGGAGGAAAACCACGGGAATTTTCTTTTTATTAAAAAAAAAGTTATATGCACACAACCAACCCAAAAGTCAACAAAATCTGTTTCCAGTAGTGTTGAAGACAGTTCCGTCCATCCCCCTGGCCCTTTATTGTTCTAAATATTGCTGGCTTCCCATTGCAGGAATCCACACAAAGCCAATGAAACCACACTCTGGGCAATAGGGCACTTACCTGACATTGTCTAAAAGCAGACGCGTGCTTTCCTTGGCCCGCGCAGGACTCGGCAGCCGCTCAGCCCGGCTGGGGCTGCCAGACTCTACTCAGACAGGATACCAAGGATGCCAGTCGCAGCACAAGCAGCTCCCTCCCGGCCAGGCTCCCGGGAAGTTTCTAGAGGGGGTTCTAGAAGCCTAAGAAGAGGCAGGGAGTTCGTTTCAAAAAGGCCAGCAGCTGGAGAGACTGCAAAGATTATCCACGACTAACGGCATTAGTGCATCTTCCTTTTAAAGACGGTGAAGAGGGGGTGGGTGGTTAGCTGAAGAGCCCACGTGACCGCGAACCCGGAGCTGGAGATCTCCCGCACTCCGGCGCTGCGCCTCCAGACCCACTGGATGTCCACTTCCAGCCATCTCACAGTCACCCACGAGGGACACCCCCTCCCTGCCCAAGAGGCTGACGACGGAGGACCGAGAGAATGGGCATTTCTGACCAGGTTCCAAGGGATTCTGAAGTTGACAGTGCGGGTCCACACTCCATCCTGTCTCCAGACTTTGACCGACGTGGGTGTCATTAAATGCTTAAGTCTGACAACTATCCTTGGAAAGCGTGAACCAGGCCCTGGGTTCAGGTAATAGCATCGCAGCGGGCAGTAATAACGGAGTAAATGAAGTCAGATAGGTCCCTTGCGGGGAGCGTTAGCTTGATCCCCAGAAAGGCAAGGCCACCGGCTGAAGGTGGAAGCGTGGATACTCATCTCTCAGAGTCTGACGGCCATGGTGAAGAGAGAGAGAGCCAGAGGGAAGAAAAAAAGTCTTGGGTTAGGTCCAAGATCTCGAGTGCCTCCTGGAATTCACCTGGAGAAAATCCGCTTGCGCTTTTGCAGGGCTCCTCCCTCCGTGGCGGCGAGAGTCTCTGGCGCCCCCTGATGGCAGCCCTGATTCTCCCAGCTCTGAACGTTGTCAGCCTTCCCCATTCATCTGAAAGTGGCCCTACTATGCAAAGGTTGAAATCATATCTTAGTCTTTGAGAAACAATTGACTGTAAGGGAGCCATTGATGGGAAAAGTTAAAAGGAAAACAAATGACCTGTAGGCTAACGTGGTATCACATGTGTACCTAATCAGTCATCAAATCATCCACACACTGCACGGGGACTTGTTTATGAAAGATTTTAAAGATCTACCTTTTAATCTTTTTAATTATGTGCACGTGGGTATGCATACATGCCTGCAGATTCCACAGGGACTATAGGTGTGGGAGTCCCTGGAGATAGAGTTACAGGCGGGTGTGAGCCCCAGGACATGAGAGCTGACTACAAAATTAGACCTTTTTTTTAATGGTTTTTCAAGACAGGGTTTCTCAGTGTAACAATCCTGACTGTCCTGGAACTCACTCTGTAGACCAGGCTGGCCTCAATCTCCTAGGATCTACCTGCCTCTGCCTCCCAAGTGCTGGGATTTAAGGAGTGCGCCCCCACCACCTAGCCAGACTTAGGCTTCTTTTCAAGAGGACTATGCTGTGTTAACCGCTGGGCTGTCTCTCCAGACTCAGGACATGGTTCTTGATGGCTGGTATTCTAACAGAGGAAGACCAAGGGGATATTTTGAGGGAAACTTGTATAATGCCAACCTCGACTGTTTGGATGTAACCAAAATGTTACACACCCACATTGCACGTATTATGTACATACAATAATATGTTTTTAGTTTTAAAAAATCACTTGGAATGGAACATCAGTGAAGCACTGTCAGTCAAGAGCCAAGAGGCGGGTAAAGCATCATGGAGCGTGTATAGCAAGGCAGACTGCACAGCATCTCAATTACTGTTCATACCAGTTCTGAGAGACAGGTAATACTGGCCCCGCCTTCCTGATAAGGACTGGAGGCTCACAGAGCTTACATCCACAATGGGAAGCTACAAGATAAGAATGCATCCGGTGGGGTTGGAGAGATGGCTGCTCTTTCAGAGGTCCTGAGTTCAATCCCCAGCAACCATATGGTGGCTCAGAACCATCTGTAATCGGATCTGGTGCCCTCCTCTGGCCTGCAGGGATACATGCAGGCAGAACACTACATGCATAATAAATAAATCTTTAAAAGACATACTTTAAAAAAAGAAAGAAAGAATGCACCCAGTAGCAAAGGTGGTTTTTATACACAGGGATCGCTTACTGGACATTTAACTACGTGCTGCTTTCGTGTGTGTGTGTGTGTGTGTGTGTGTGTGTGTGTGTGTGTGTGTGTGTGTGTACTAGATTTCCATTACTATGATAAGCACCAAGACCAAAAGCAACTTAGGGAGGAAAAAGTTTATGTTGGTTTAGAGGCCATGGAGGGGTGCTGCTCACAGGCTTGCTCCTTTTAGCTTGCTCCGGGATGATTTCTGACACAACCCAGGACCACCTGCCCTGGTCTGACATACACATCAACCACTAACCATGAAAATACCCCACAGGTTACCTAAAGGCCGATCTTATGAAGGCATTTTCCCAACTGAAGTCCCCTCTTCTTAGATGACTCTATCTTGTGTCAAACTGACAAAAAACTAGCCAGCACAAGTATATGTGTAATCTACTTTATATACAATGAGAATATTAAATATCCTTCCTGCCTTTCTTCCTTTTTTTTTTTGAGTCTTACTATGTAGCCCAAGTTGCCTCCAAATTCAAACTTGCAATTCTCTTGCCATGTCTGCCTATAGAGCAAACCCTATCATTAATTATTCCAATTTATGAATGGGAAAATGGATATTCACAAAGATTAAGTGACCTTCCTAGGATCACATGGCTTGTGAGTGGTTGAGAAGGACTTGAACCTAAGGCAGAGCCTAAAACCCTGTCCTGTGTCCGTTTAAGCAGCATCAAAGGCAAATCAGAAATAAGCCCACTTGCAGGTGTATTCTGCCGCCTCCTACAGACAAACCCCTCGGCAGCATCTCTTGCCCCCTGTGAAGCCAGTATCTGCTCAGTCCCAGCAGCGGAGCCCCGAGCTCTCTGTTATGCTTCCTTCAGATAGTGTCCTGCTCATGCGGGCAGCATGTTCCCTCTTTAAAGACCTCAAACACCCAGTTTGCTGATTGTTATGCCTTGCACATCATTGCAGGACATCTGAAGCAAAGCGGGTGAATGGAGGTGAGGAACTCGCCTTTCTGACTCACCATCAAGAAAGATAACACTGCTCAGACTGCTTGAATGCACAGTAAGAGGGTGATTACCGAAGTTTACCTGAACCGGGACCAAAACTAAGAAGTGACAATGAATGCCAATGGTTAGACCAAAAAGCACCCTGCAACCTGGGAGTAAGAATGGTGCTTTTGCTTCTAAGGGCCAGAGTCTTGTTATCTCATCCACAAGCTACCTAGCAAGGCAGTCAAATATCTTGTATCAGACACTGGGTTCCTTGCTAGTAAATCGTCTTCAGGAATAAGGCACTGGACTGTTGCTGCTGCTGCTGCTGCTGAAGACATGATTTCACTGTTGGCCCTGGTTGTCCTAGAGTGAGATCATGCTAGCCTTGAACTTACAGAGATCTGCCAGCCTCTGCCTCTCAATGGCTGGGATTAAAGACGTGCCCCACCCCTGCTCAGGTAAAACACTGAATACCGAATTACTAACATTTAGTCATGTTGCATAGGACGAGCTGCATCAATGCACTGGCTTGTTTCGCTCCTGTGTTCAGTGCTAAGGAGGGACCCTGGGGCTTTGCAGATGCTACCTGCTCTGTCACAGCCACACTCCCAGCGCAGGCGCACACACACCACCTTCTAACGAACTGATTTGTTTTCCATGTAGCGGTGCTCATGACGACTCTAGATTAACTTGAAGCATGATGTGGACGACACTGGAGAAAGCGAAGAGCCCTGTTTATCACAGGCAGACTTTTTGCTGCAAGGAGGGACCAAAGCGGATCACCCTGCCTCTTCTCTGATGATGCCTGCTCCACAGCTTAGAGCTGAGAGCCTGGAGAGAAGAAGACAACGCCGACTCCATCCATCCTGCCCCGACCAGCCTCAGCCCTACGGAATGTGCGCCCCTGTGGAATGTGCGCCCCACCTCGATACGGTGCACCGCTCACCTTTGACATGACTGCAGGGCTCATCTTGTGTCTCTGGCATCCTCCACAATCCCACAGCACCCACTCTGTCCATTCAGACACTCACAAAGGCTTCAATTTAGAAGATCAGAGGAAACGACGGACCGGTTTGCGGGGGGGGGGGGAGCCAGGGGGCGGGGGGAGGAGTGTTTCTGTAAGAAATAACACAGACAAAAACAGACAGACTGTTGGAGGCAAGGGAGAAAAAGCTGATGCAAAAAAAAAGGAAGAAAAAGAAATCGGAAGAGCCTAAAAAATGACTACTAGGCCGGGGTCACGCTAAGGCATGCCTCTGAATTGTTGCTCCTTCTCTTTCTTTTCTGAGTGTAGCTGGAGGGGTCCTCGTTCTAAAGCGCAGGATCGGACCTACTCCACATTCTGTGCTTATAACCCGGCTGTGTCAAAAGGTCTGAACAGGAAGAACCCACAGCTGTGGAGTTAGATCCCTGCAAAGCAATGACAGCTTCGTTGGCGATGAGTGGTCGCAATGGCATTGCCTAACGCAGCATGTCAGGGGTCACCTCCCCAGCACGCCAGGGCTCATCTCCACTGCTCAGAAATCAGAGGAGGAAACAGAGGTGACAAATTGGTGTTGTAAGAGACTAACCAATAAACTCACCAGAAAATACTAAATTTCACAAAAGGCAGTTTAGAGAAGGTGATCCTGGCAGATGGTGCCTGGTAGTTCTGCCAGGCAGATGGGGTGACCCTGGTTAACAGATGCTTGGGAAAAGCAGTTCCGGACTGTTTCAGGATAGCTTGACAATATCTTTATATTCAAAATCTCTCCATTTGTCTAAACATGCAAACTTGGAGTTTCTGTCACTGCAAAAGATGTTTAATTGTTTAAAGTGTTGCTTGGGATGAGAAACTATAGAAGCTAATGGGGGGGGGTTGTCCATGGCCTGGTCCCCTTTGTGCATTAGGCAGAACTGGTGTGTGCCGTTGTTAAGGTTTTTTCTTCATTAATCTCTAAGCCCTTGGAGTGCTTCTCAGTGTGAAGGCACAGTACTATTATAACAGTGTGACTTAACATTTGGGGGTTGAGCTTGAGTAGAATACATGTCTTTGTGGTAATAAAAATGAAAATGACGTTTATTGAACATCTTTCTACAGATGGGGAAACCGAGGCTCAGAGAGAAGAGGTGTTCCAAATACACATGTCTAAACAAATGTTCTACCTCAAATTTATCTATACACTGGCTAAACTTCTCTCCTCCTGTCTATTTGCATATGATTTTTTTCTTATATGTGACATAACCTGAAGCAGGTTGTCCTGTAGAACCAGGTAATATTGTGTGAAATTTTGTCAAGTTCTGCTCTAGACCTGACCACCTATGATATAACTATGTAGTTTAACTCTTTACTGATCTATATTTGATTGGTGGCCCAGGCACCAAGGCATACCCACAATGGAGACCTAACTTGATATCTACGTACCCAGGACACCAAACAAGATTCCCACCTGGGCAACCTGCTTCTGCAGCCTGGTCTCTGCAAGTCACCCATGCACGACTCAATCTTAATCTTCAAGGTCTGTAAATAAGCCGGCAAAATAATTTTTGTGCAACTCCTTAAAGACGCTTGAACTCCATCAGAGTCTCTCAAATACCTGAAGAAAGTATATCCTTGGACTCGCCCCCAGCTCTGAACCTGTGTTCTCATACAATCTAGAGGGAAAACTGGCCCTGGTGTGACTGTACACACCCATTTGAGAAGGAAATGCTAAAAAGTCTCCAGAAATGGTGGCAAATTGTAAGATGCAATTTCATAAATGACTCAAACAC